ACTTCGAAAAAGATTGTTAGCATCATGGAAAACCTCAATCTCAGGAATACAAGAAATTTGGTCACGTAGAGAAGTATTGTCGTAATAAAAATAAGGATCAAGCAAACTTTGCAGAAGAACATAATAAGGAGAAAATATTATTCTACGCCAATCAAGAATTTTCGAGTGGAGAAGGAAGTTGGTACTTGGATAGTGGATGCAACAATCACATGGTGAAAGATTAAAGCATCTTCAAAGACATTGATAAATATGTCAATGTCAAAGTTCGGCTAGGAAACGACAACACAATGGAGTCTCGAGGCAAAAGAACTGTCATGGTGGAGTCAAAGAAAGGTACGAAATTCATCAAGGACGTTTTACTAGTGCCAAATCATAAAGAAAATCTTTTAAGTATTAACCAAATGTTGGAGAATGGATATTCTTTCATTTTGAGAAAGATACATGCAAAATTTATGACAGTAAAATGATAGAAAATGGCCAAGTAAAAATGTAGAAGAGAGATAGAAGCTTTCATATAAGCTTCAAACTTGGAACTAATATTGTCATGAAGGTAGAAGTTGATGACTCATGGCTTTGGCATAGGAGATTTCACCAATTCAATACACATGTCTTAAAGCTTCTATATCAAAATAACATGATGAGAGATCTTCCATACTTGAAGGAGAATAATGAATCATGCGAAGGATGTCTCCTCGACAAACAACATTGATTATCATTCTCGACAGACAAAGCATGGAGGGCAAAAGACTTATTGGAGTTGATTCATACTGATGTTTTGGACCGATGAGGACGCCTTCACATCACAACAATAGGTATTTCATCCTCTTACCGATTACTTCTCTAGAATGACATGGGTCTATTTCTTAAAGGAAAAGTCAGAAGTCTTCGGAGTATTCAAGAAATTCATGGCCTTTGTTGAGAAGTAAAGTGGAAAACAGGTAAAAGTACTTAGAAGTGATCATGGCAAAAGTACAGATCTCGCGAGTTTGACAAGTTTTGCGAAGATGAGGGTGATGAATCACTATTTGTACTATTCACTTAGTTTTTCGCACCAAATTGTGTTAGTGAATTATGTTTAATTCTCTATTATTGTCTCATTTTCACTATTTGGGCTTAATTTGACTAATAATTCTTATTTTAATTAATTTGAATTATTTGGTCTTAATTATCTAATTATTATTTGCAAGACAATTTTGGAATCATATTTTGGGACAAGAAAAGCTTGGTCACGTCAACATTATAGTTTAATTTCGTTTTAAATTCGTTTATGACTTTGGACCCATTTTTTATCAACATTTAGGAGAAACCCATTAGAAGGGCATTTTTGTAATTTGGGGTTTTAAATACCCAAATCAGATTTTAGGTTCTCTCCTCCCCTCACTTTTGTGTTTTTCTTCTAGGTTTTTGCTCTTGGGCGTTTTTCCACCCCCTCCCCCCCCCTAGGGGTTTTAGGTTTGCTTTCGATTTTCTCTTTCTTGTATCGAATTAATTTCGTTTTTCAATTACAATTTGAATTTCGTTTCTTGCTTTGAATGTCATTTCCACTTTCGTTTTTCCCTCTTTCATTGATGTCCATTTACGTTTTCTAATTGCATTTATGTTTTCAGTTTTAATTTAAGTTTGCGTCTTAGTTTCTGTTAAATTTTTGAAGTTCTTTTACAATTTCGTTTTGTGCATTCTGTTCCAGATTTAATGTTGAATTCCTTTTCGTTTTTTTGTTGTAATTTCGATTTAATGTTAGTTTAAGTGTGCTTGGTTGGTCATTAACAAAATTGCATCGTTTCCTTGAGATTTCTGAGTTGAAATTGTGATTTTGTTGCTCTGATTTGGCTCAACATTAAATTTGTTTGTGCACTTGCAATTGGGTACACGCTTAGTTGCCTAATTGGTGTTTAATTCGCTTAGTTGATGAAACTGTGTGGTGCAAAATTGATTGAACATTAGCATTGCATTTGCTTAATTCGCTTTTATGAAAACATGGTTAATCTTCGCTTAGTTGGTTAGCTTGTGTTGGATTAGGGGTTAGAGTAGTGTGTTGTTGGTTAATCTGTGATTGGAAGCATGTAAATACTGAAATTTTTCATGTAAAAAAAACAAGGGTTAGCTTTTGCATGAACAAGAAAGAATACAATTTTGAAAAAAAATACCAATTGCAATACAAATTTATTTTATTTATATTTTTGCCTAGAGGCAAAAGGATTTTTTACCTTTTATTAATTAGATGCAAAAAATTAAAATAGGGGTGTATAAAAGAAAAGCATGCAAATTAAATAATATGAAAAATTAATATAAAGATATTGTTAAATCTTTTAGAATATTTAATTGTTGTTATTTTAACAATTAGTTAAATGAAAATAGGAGATATATAATTTGATGAGTTTAAAGATTAAAAGAAATATTATTATTAGAGAAAATCATTATTAGGTATTGTTAGATGATTTAAAAGATATTGTGAGATATTGCTAATTAAAAGATATCTTAAGATATTATTGGATGTAATTAGATATTATTATTAGATAATAATAATAATAATGATAATAATAATAATAATAATATATTATTGATAGACTCATTATAATTAGAATAAAATATATTATTGTAAGTGAGAAATATTAGAGATGGAGTGGGTTATTTATAAATAATAACATATAGAGAGAGGGGTAGTTTTTTACGTGTTTAGAAATTCTATAAAACTCTAAATCAAAGAGAGAAAACAGAGGAAGATAAGAGATTGACGTTTTGGGAGAAGAAGAGAGGAAGCAACATAAATTCTTAATGCAAAGGAAGATTGGTGGTGTTTTGAGGTTGTAGATAAAGCTCTAGTTTTGGCCAAGGTATGGGGAAGCTTACCTTTGTTTGCTTATTGTTGTATGTCATATGTGTTCTTGATTATCTTGATTGATAATATTTTTGTTGATGCATGTATATATTAATATTATTATGATTATTTGTTATTATTGTTTGGAAAGTGTTTGTGTATGCATGGGGATAGGGTTTATGTAATATTTGTGTTGGATTTTGCCTATGAATGTATGTATGGCTTGTTGGGTTATCCCAACAGAGGGTATGATGCTAAGGGAGAACAAAGTTACGATGCTTGGGAGTTTCCATGCAAATATATGTTATAAGTGTTGGGTTATTGGGATCATTATGTGGAGAATAGGCTAAATAATATGGACCATTATGTCTCACTTTGTTTTAGTGAAGGTGATTCATATTAGTAAGACACATTAAAGTCATTTAAAGAGAGGGAAAAGTCAACTGAGAGAGAAAGGAAGAAATATAATGTTGGTGCATTTTAAAATTAAAGAGACATTTTTAGAATGACTAGAACTATAATAGTTATTAAATGGAAGTTTAATTAAAAAGATAATTATATTTTGAAAATAAAAATATGATAATGAGGTAATATTGATGATTCTTATCATATATTATTCCAATTCATTTCAATTGTGACTGAGAATATTGAGAATCTTTATTTTGATTAAGTACGAGAATAGATAATATTTAATTTTTTAAATTAGATATGATGACATAAATTAGTATGTAAATATTTGTCATGTTCTTTTTCTCATATTTACTTCTATTATCTCCATTGATATTTATATAATTATAATTTTTTATTATATATATAATTTTGATATTGAATTCTTGATAGTATTTTTGTTTTCGTTGTTCTGAATTTTACATTTTGTAACGAATAAAAGTTTCATACCCATTAATAAAAATAAAAATGAACTTTTACTTCAAAAATAAAATTAAATAATCAATCTCGCAACCGTAATGTTAGTACCCCGTTCAAGGATTGAAGGCTATCTAGAGAGCAACTAGTCCATTCTTAAAGGGCTGGCAGGTAGTAAAATTTTCTCAGTCTTGGGCAAAAAATTCAACTAAAATAAAATATAAGTAATAACCCTCGAAATCCTGAGAATTGAGCATTCTGCATCTGCACAAGGGAAATCGTTCAGGACAATACCATTCTGCAATTGCTACTAAGGAATTCTGCAGTACTTGGTAGAAGGTGCATTGAATGACAATTTTTCATATGACAACTTCCTTTTCACATTTGTTAATGCTCAATACTGGTTTGAATTAAAGATTATGTACAATTGTCACTGTAAAATGCATTCAATGCCGCCTACGATGCAAGGACATTAAATCCAATTAGCAGAGTAAACATAGTTCATTCCAATATATATACAACTCAATTTGGAGACATCATTTATTTTGGTCTTTACTATCCTGTTTTTAAACCTTCTCTACTCAGTTTTGAAATTAAATACACTGTTAAAAATTGTAAAACCGGACAAGTTGCTTAATTTTGAGTTTACCTACCTAAGATATTCACATTTTTGGATAACCTTCTAAATAATTATAAAAACGGTCAAATTAAAATGTAACAAATGAGTTAGTTGTCTTTTCAATTCTAAGCCCATGTCTAAAATTTATGAAACTCTATTTTTAACACATCTCAACTCCTATGTTAAAAACCTTAAAGTTTACACAACCCATAATAAGTAAACTGCTTTATCTACCACCCAACCAAAGCCATCCCCATAAAAGACAAATTACCAAATACTAAAATACACTTTGTGAGTAAATAGTAAAACCTTAGTCTCAGGACAGAAGATCCATATAGATGCATAAAAGGTAAAAGAGGGTAGAAAGAGAACCAATTTAAAAACCAAAGAAAGCAGAATTGACATCACTCTTGGAACATTATAAAGCAATGAAAGAGGCTTCACTACCTAATACTAACCCTCTGAACACGTTATCAGACACTGCCTGTGACCTCTTCCAGCTTCTTGCTTTGGAACTCTGGTCACCCTCTTGGTCCATACGTTGATTATAATAGAAACTATACAAAGTAACCAAACCAAACACCCTCTTACAATACATGGTCCTGTCAATATCCACCACCCACAGAATTTTCCTTTCCATTTGCGTGTACATGTCTCAAGGACTTTCCTTCAACCAATCAAACCCCTCACAAAAACAGAAACCTCAAATCATAAACCATAGATTGCTCCTTCACAATGTGATGATGCCTCTAGATTCCAACATACACAACAACCACGTGTCTCAGAGACAATACAATCAATGGTCTCACACACGATCTAATGGGGGCAACAAACAGTAATTTGGTATGCTATATAAGCAAACTTAATCTGCTTTCCTTCTATACCAAGCCATATACTAACACCACCAGTTTTTTTATCCTTTTTACATCACATTAGTACCACTACTAGTTAATACCTGTGGAACAGGCTTTAAAGAGTTCAGAAACATAAATGAGACCCTCTAAAAATTAACCAAAAAAAGGTAGAAAAAGTAAACATCACATGCAAAATATTAATGAAAGGTCCTAAAATCTATTTAATGGCCGTCTTAAATGGTGCTGCTTTTGCGGACAACATAGCGATAAGCAGCAACCTTTTTCCTCCTTGAGGCAGTGTTATCAACTGAGAGTACCATCTTTCCAGATTCTTTTGATGTGAATGAGTTGTGGATTGCTTCTTCCGAGGCTCCCATCTTCCTTGGCTTTTCAACTGCTATGGTGTAGCTTCCTTCAGCATTTGGCACAAATTCAGCACTGTATTCCAAGTCCCACCCTCCCACTACAATGTCCCATGTGATTGTTGCACCAGCCTAATTCAACCAACAATAACTAAATTACCAACTACTCTTCCATTGGCAACAAAACCATTAAGCCAAAATTTAATATATAGAAAATCCAAAAACAAAGATTATTTTATCTAAAAAGGAACCAATTTATTTGCATGACAGTAAGACTAATCATAATCTGCAGAGAAGAGTGTGTTAGACACATTGTTGAGTTTAATTTGTATGCCCTTTTCAAGAAATCAGAAATGAGAGTAGAATGAAAGATAGTTATTATGCAAGCCAATAAATTTTCATATTTAAACAGTGATTATTGAGTGCGTGTAAAATGTAAACTTGTTCAGAAATAAATAAATAATTGTTCAAACAAGGAAAAACAACTTATTGTTTCTTTAAAAAAAAGTTGATGGAAACATGCACCAAAAGCAGTGGGTGAATCATCACCTCAATTCCTTCAATCTGTATGTTCACTTTCTCTCCTCCTTTGATTGTGAACTCAGATGCAGGTTTTGGGGGACCATTCGGCAAATCACTGGGCCGTTTCAGTCCTCCATACTGAACAGGAATATCCTCAGGCCTAATAAATCTGAACACAAGAAAGCAACTCCCTTCAGAAAGCAAACCCAAAATGGAAATAGAAGGAAAGTTGGAATTATATTCGTTACCACAAAATGAAACCGAAGAAGACAACTTAAGTAATGATAATGTTTATGAACAAAATCTATGAATAGTAGAAATTAGAAAGCAGACAAGATCTCAGAAGCATTTTTAAATATTAATATAGATTTAAAATATGAGTGGAGCCAAAATGCTTTATAGCAGTAGGGTTTTGTATTGCAGAAGATTTAAACAGGGGAAAAAAGACAGAAAAGTAATTCATACATATGGAACCAATAAACTCACTTGTAAAGTGTCTCGGCAGCATTTCCTTCCTTAGAGATCACAAACTTGCTCTTGGTTCTCTGAGTCAGAAACGGACTGAACATTGAATACAACATGCTGAAGTACCATGGCACGTTGATGAAAATCTGAATCCCCAAAAGCCAAACCAAGGAATGAGAAAAAAATATATTTTTCAAAAAAAGGTGAAAATGTGTCACAGTTACATAAATGCCATGGCATTAATTGAGAGAAACCAAAACGACAAACTTCAACAAGTTCCAAATTTGAAGAAAACAACAAAAACTACATATACCTTGCGAGCCACCATTTCCGGGTAGTTGTCTTGGAACAAGGAGAGGATCTGGTTGGAAGCCACCCTCAGCTCTCTCTTCGGCATGTCCTTGAGGTCTGTGACCTGGATTAGAGAATTGACTCCACCAGGCTTGAAATGAAGAACCTTGATGCCTCTCTCGAGTACTTGAACCCTCCACCTGAGGAACTTTTTCAGCTTCTCCTCATCACCAAATACCCTCTCATACATTTCCTTGTCCTTAAACATCCCATAAGCATTGTAGCACACAGGGTGCCCCTCTTTGTCATACCCTTGCATATACGCTATCACTCCTTCAAGCTCCTTGAACCCCAAATCCTCTTCCAAAATGGTGTCAGCACCAAACTCCTTCCTCCAAGCAAGACACTTTACAAGCATGTGTAGGGCATCACCAACCCTGAAGTCCCTTGCTCTAAGAAACTTCAGCAGAATAACATCAGCTTTGTCATCCCCTCCAAGGAGGGGAATGCCCCACATGGAGGCATCAGAGGGAGAGTCTTCAAAGGAAGCTTTGAGCTTCTCCTTCAGCTCCTGAAGGGCTTTCTTCTCTGAGGACCTGAGGAGGGAGACAAAGTAGTTGTCTTCTTTGAAGGAAGGATTAGTGGAGGCTCCTCCCATTAGGGTGGCCACAAAGCCCTTCTTGTAAGGCTTGGGGGAAGCTTCTGGAAGGTCCTGGAAGCTTGTCTTTTGGCTTTGGAGGGACAAAGGAGATGAAGCGGTGTCCATCATCAAAAAGGGATTTTGAGAGAGACCCAGATGGAATCAATGCATGAAATGGTAAATGCAGGATAATGGGATGGTGATTCTACCCAAAAGCACTGAACTTTCTCTCTCTGTGTGCTTGAGTGAAGTATGTGGATTATGGTTGGAGAAAAAGGAAGAAGGAGGAGGAAAATGACAAGGAAATGAGGGAGAAGGGAAGAGAACAAGAGAGTTTTGAGGCCAGATTTGAGTGTGGAGTGTTGAGTGTGTTTGTGACTGTGTTGTGTTGTGTTTGAATGAGTGTGGGAGATAAGAGTGCTTTGAAGAAGAAACGAATTTGAATGTGGTGATGAGGGAGTAAATGGAGACAGGGATCGTGGCAGAGAGTGAGGGCACGCGCTTTTCTTTGGCGAGTGGGGAATGCTTGAGTTACGTTGCTGAACAGTTCAGAGTTCAAAAGAGAAATCTGGGAGTTTATAATCTTGGATTATCTTGCTTTAATTGTTTGCTTCTTTAATTTAGTAAGGTAATTAGATCATTTCTGAGTTAAGTATATGATCTCCATTGGTATATTATGAATCTTATTTTATTTATGTAAACTTTTACAGTATAATATAATGGTCAGAAGGTGTATAAATGATTTTTTAATGATATGGATTTTAAAAAAAAATTAATTATAAAGACTATATGTATCCAGTTTAATTTTTTTTTTCAATTTAGAAATAAGAAATTGAGTCAAACTCGTTAAGTTCGAAAGATTTTATAAGATGATAGATCAGACTTTTTTTTCTCTTCGAGTAAATGATATATTGGATTTTAATAATTTAAATTTCGAGATTTAATTTTTATTTAGAGTGAAGACTGATATCCTGAGGACGAGGTAATTTAATCAATTCCATTGATAATTATGTTATTAGAAAATTAAATTTAAGGTTTTTAAATAAAAACTATTAACAAATAAATTAAAATTTGCTCAATTTGAAAAAGAGACTGGATTAGATTAAAAAATTAAGGAAAAATACAAGTGGTATAAATTAAAGAACTATATGCCCAACAATTCAAAAGAATTTTGAGGAAGTAATCAATTTATTTTTAGTATAGAATAGACAGGCCTTTAATAAATGAGATAATTAAGAATGTCCATAAAAACCACTAATCCAGTCTGTTAAAGAATTAGCAATAAAATTAAGTCTTCTAAAATAGATTAAACCAAACACATCATTCAGACTAAATTTGTAGTGAAATTATACCATTTAATAAGTTGTCCTCGAATATACATCGCTGGTAAATTTAATAGGTAATTTTCTAACCGCGTTTCGATCTAAATAAACCTTTTAAGCGTTAAAAGTCAAATAAAAATATTTTTAAATATATATTTTGTTAGCAAAATGTGTTATGTTAATCTTTATAGTTTCCACATATATCATAAAACTAATATTTAAAAAAAAAATAAAAACAAGTAATTTAAGCTAAATATTTTTCATATTATTTTTAAGCAAATTTGCCTTGAAAGTGACGTGAAAGTATGTACGGAAAATGTTGGAGAAGTGAGGAGAAGAGTGAAGTGGGAAGGGATCACTTTTCCCTCCATTTCCCTTTAGAAAAGATACAAAGGGTCACTTATTTATCTCTTATCTCGATTTTACATTTTTTATATATATATGATTCTATTTTAATATTCGTTTTAATGGATTTTTAGTTTGTTAAGCGAGTTTAACTAAAATCAAAATGAAATCTGTATATTATATTGTATCATTGATTATAATGAGTTTTTTCATCTCTTATTCTAATCAAAATATATAGAACCTTTAGAATTCATTTCTATTTTCAAGTTTCATTAATCAAATATCAAATTTAGCATACAATAATTAAATCAAATAATTTATAATCAAATAATTCAATCATTATATTAAAAATAGAGATTCATTTTAAGCTATTTTAAGTCACATGTTGAACCATAAGCCACATGTATCTCAAAATACTCGTTGACCTCAAAAATAAGCAAAAGTGATTTTATTTTATTATTACTTTTCTAAAATCAATTCTTTAGTCTTTGATCTTTAAAAGGACAAAGAAGAATGCCAGAATTTTAGAGAGAAGGTAGAGGAAACCTTTAGATCGAAATTCTAGAGACATGATGTTATTTGAAAAATAAAACTCGATTAATAGAAATTTTATTTATAGTCTTGACCTTTTAATAAAAAAAAGAATCAAGTTTCATCTTTAAAAATCACCATTCCTCTTATACTATTTTTCAAGTCCTTACACTCTTCCCAACAAGAAAAAGTGTGTGTGTATGTGCATGTGTTCATGTGTGCATGTGTTTGTGTGTGGATGTGTTTGTGTGTGTGTTTGTTCGTGTGTGTGTGTATTGTCCGTGTGTGTCTGTTCGTTTATGGGTGTGTGGGTGTGTGTGTTTCTATGTGTGTGTGAGAGTGTGTGACTCTAGGTGTTTGTGTGTGTGTTCATTTGTGCACTCGTATGTATATGTGTGTATGTTCGTGTGCGCGTGCGTGTGTGTGGAGCACAACTTTTAAAAGAGTTATCCAGTTGTGTGAATATTGGCAAGTGTACCAAGTGAATTCTAGAATATCCTAATGAGGGTTATCGTATCCATAGGGATTTAATAATATATTGGTAGTTTGCTTTTTGATATTTTTGTATAAGAATATTGATAATAGTATATATTATATAGATTGAGTAGAGTGGATGTTATGATTCAATTTCATCTCATTCTCTTCCACTGCACCATTACTCATCTTCTCTATTCACTTATGCAAATCATTCAATGTCTTCGGAGTGCTCTTTAAATGTAAATATAGATCCATTCATGGCATCTAAGCTTAAGATCATCAAACTCTAGTATAATTCCTCAATGACTGTTTGAATGAATCACTTGCTTTAAGTGCAAGACTTTATAATCAACTAGAGCCTTAGATTTATTCCTTACATCTAAAAGTATGAGGAGAATTAGTTGACCACAACTTGAAACCAATTCCTACTCAATCTTAAGCTAGTGAAATAAAATGAGTACTAGGTTCATCCATCAACAAACATAAATTAATTCGCAAATAAATTGAATGAAAACATAGATAAATATCCAAAATATAGAAGTACAAATAATTAGAATTGATTACATCCAACTTCAACATGAGAGAGTTCAACTACTCATAGAATATTGCAATGCAATCCCAACAATATTTAAATATAATATTTATNGGAGTGCTCTTTAAATGTAAATATAGATCCATTCATGGCATCTAAGCTTAAGATCATCAAACTCTAGTATAATTCCTCAATGACTGTTTGAATGAATCACTTGCTTTAAGTGCAAGACTTTATAATCAACTAGAGCCTTAGATTTATTCCTTACATCTAAAAGTATGAGGAGAATTAGTTGACCACAACTTGAAACCAATTCCTACTCAATCTTAAGCTAGTGAAATAAAATGAGTACTAGGTTCATCCATCAACAAACATAAATTAATTCGCAAATAAATTGAATGAAAACATAGATAAATATCCAAAATATAGAAGTACAAATAATTAGAATTGATTACATCCAACTTCAACATGAGAGAGTTCAACTACTCATAGAATATTGCAATGCAATCCCAACAATATTTAAATATAATATTTATAATGAAAGCATCTCTTGAACCTCCAACACTGTATTCCTACTCTACTGCTACTATTTAATTCTTCACTCAATGCCTAAAAGAGGACATGAGGTTTGTATTTATAGATTGCCTAGGGCGGTGCTCAACTCCAATTTTGGCACTCAACTATAAAGGTTCCCTTTTATGCAGAGTTTTCTCTTAACCATCTTAAGTACTCAACACCATCTTATGGCTCAACTGCTAAAGTTACATCCTAAATCTTTGAAAATCACTTTTCTTAGCGCTCAACGACACATTTTGGGCTAGAGGTGTAGCCATTTTTCCTTAAGTAGGTCCTTGAGAGTTTCTCCTTACGAGGGTTTCTTTAATTTCCTTTGTATTACTTAACATCGTTTTAGAGCTTACGTTGCACATTCTTAAATTCTTTGAAAATATTTGCAAAAACACCACAAACACACTAATTTCTTTATTCTCTTACTTATCTACTCTTCATTTTGTAATCTAAAGTAAAAATGGTTGTGTACTTACAAAAGATTATCAATTAAAACATGGTAAGTCAAATTTATGTGGGAAATTAACGTTTTCTCGACACTTATCAAGGATTCTTTGTCGTAAGCTCAGATATGGTCCTTGGTCGAAGAACAAATGAAGGATGAGTGAGAAAACTTAGTGAAAAGTCAGAGAAGACAAAGAGAGAATGTTTAGAGAAATAGTAAGGTTTATAAAAATGAATTTTAAAATAAAGAAATATATTTATAATCTTTCATTTTAATAATAAAATACTCAAGTATCATTTTATAAAAGCTTTATTTCTCTAAATTACTCTTTTTCTAAACCTTTATAAAAGTTATATTCCTTAGATGATGATCTAACTATATGATTAAAACTCCAATAAAAAAATATCCTTATGATTACATATAAATAAAGGTTTACTTTAAGTTATTTTGAGTCACATGCATTGAACCATAAGACACATACAACTCTAAACCTTCATTGATCTCAAGAAAGAGAAAAATAATGAACTTACTTTATCTTTAACTTAGACTATATATTGATAATGTTCTCGTTAGGATTATCTTATGGTTTTTTTATATTCAAATAGACTAAAAAGAGTATCAAAATTATAGAGAGAAAGTAAATGAAAGCTTTAGATAAAAAATTATAATTTGATGATTTTTATAAAATAAAATTGAATTAATAGAAATTTTATTTATAATTCTGACATTTTATTAATAAAATAATTGAGTTTCATCCTTAAACACTATCACTGTTTTAAAACTATTTTCTTGGTCTTACATTTAATCATCTAACAATAAAAAAGAATTAAAAATAATCTAATATTTTTTATTTTTGATTTAAATAAACATGCTTTTTTTTTTCATGGTTGTTGGTTTGATTTTAATATTGGCATGAAAGGAAAAGCTAAACAGTGATAAAATGCATAGACAAAAGAATGAATCATATTAAAAATGGGTAAATGATATACCGTGTCATTTTCTTGCACTACTATTTACTATAAACTATTATATATAATATTTAATTTTATTTTTATAATAATAATTTTTAAAATCATACTAACAATATATTTTCTTTAGAATAATAGTGTACAACTTTTTAGACACAATACATATAAAAGATAACTAATATTCATAAGGTGTAAATGAACAAAAAGCTTTAAACTTGGTTTGGAAGCAAGCTTAAAATTTAAACCACA